CATTTTTTAGTAGTACCCTTTGAATTTTGACTGTTATTTGGCTGTTATTACAAAATTTTTCTTTTCCACATTTTAGCGTTCTGCGAATTATTAAACTCCTCCGTCCATGATAACTACGTATGTTTTAACAACAACAGAAGTAATAAAATTTAATTGTTAACATAACACAACCTCTCTCGCTGTAATTGTTAAAATTCTCCTTGAAGTTGTAGATTCGTAAGCCGAAGATCAACATGATGATGAGTAATATGAAGCCGCAGGCCATACCACGAACGTAATTATCAAGTGTCAAATATGGTGGTTGGAAACAGTGAAATAGAAGATCTAATTTTAATACGGAAAGCATAAAATGTACAGAGAAAAGTAAATATACTAGGCGTAAGTAGTCTTTAACAGATAAGGAAATAGCGAGGGCAAAATACAAAGTCGAATTATTAAAAGCAGAGCGACTTTTCTGATACAATTATCTTCTCTGGGACAGATCAATAAAAAGTGACACGGAAAAACACATTTATAAAAGAATAGTTGAAAGTATTACCAGTATTACCCTCTAAGGATCGGAAGTTTGGAATATAAAGAAGACTAACAGAAACAAGCTCTTAGCAACCTGAAATGGATTTTATAAGGAGTAGACGTAGAAGATCAAAATTAGGGAGAATTCGAAATGAACATATAATAAGTAAAATGGATAAGGACAGAAATATATCAATTATAACTGAGTTTGGCAATGTTAAGAGAATACCAGAGAACAAATAACCTCTGAAAATATTGGAATGGATGCCTGCAAGACGAAAGAAAAGAGGTTGCGACATTGCGACATGTCGTGTTGGGGATGAAAACTTCCCCACACAGTCTACCCGCGTTGAGTGTAATCGAACTGAGATGAACTGAGACGACAAAGTAAGTTTTGGCGTACCTCTATCCATCTACTTTATCTGTGACGTAAAGATTCCTTTGGGAGTGTTGTTCTATTGTAATTATGCTAGGTTTTCTTCCAAATTCAGATTCATAAGAGTTCATTTTCATAAGAGTTAGTTTTAGTATTAGAGAGTTTAGATAGTTGTACCGCGTCGTCCAGATACGTATGTTTCAGTGTTTGCCCTGAGTTTGTACTTTACAGATAATTGTATACACTATAGCCTTCTCCAGTTTTATCAGTTTTTTGGTAATATTAAATTCTTACATGACTTATGCGCGGCTTTAAATAATTTATTTCTCTAATTATAAACTGATTTAAAATTTATGGAAAGATAGTAGGGAGATAAGTTCAATGCATTTCAAGTTCATTCAGCATTTTATATCTAAAATCGTTACTATGTAGTATGTCTTTTTTGAGGAGATCATTTCAATGTCATGTATATTTTGCTTTCTTGACTATAGTTGACCATGTTTTCTTTCCTTTGCTTATTTTTACCATTGTCATATTCCTAGTTCTTTTAAATCCTGGTTAATACCATCAATCCATCTCTTTCTGAGCCTACCTCTAGGTCTCTTCCCGTATAATTCTTTTCTAAACGGGCTTACCTCCCTAAAAGGTCCATATATTATCCTTACAATTTTTCCTTCCTTACAAGTTGTCCCTTTGTTCACTAGTCAAAGTCCATGTTTCTGACGCATACGTTACTACGGGTATCATCGTTTCTTTAAAAAATATATAAATCTTTTCTATATATCTTTTTTAATGTCTAGCTATTTATGTCTATATTAGTTGCGTAAGCTATGACTTGGTTTATTTTTGTAAATATTGTACCTTCTCTATCTATTCATATCTGTCTTAGGAGTTTTCCTGATAAAGCAGGCCATTAACGTTCCGACTTGTGGTACGACTAGTGGTCCAACTTCTGCAGTTGGATCTGAAATCGGACCGTGACTGGGCTAGTTGGATTAGTTGGACAACTAGTGGTACGACTAGTGGGACGACTTGAAGATCCGACTTCCGACTGGTGACGAAGTCGGAGCGTGAATGGTGAAGTTGGAAGTCGGATCACAGGTTGGATCGAAAATTTCCTCAGTCAGTTGACTTTCGGCACCTATTACGTATGAGATTTCTATGAAATACTTTACGCAAAGATCTCTAGTTCGCGAATATTTAATAGAAAATAAACTTTCAATTGCACGAAAATTACCTTTTTGTTAGGGCAAATCATTTTCCTTTCTGTAGATCTATTTCGGACATTCCTATACAGGTAAATTTCCGATACTCCGGATTGGCTACGGAAGAATTATCAACAAAAAATGAAAATTAAATCATAGTTGTAGCAAAAGATCCCTAGTTCGCAAAAAAATAATAGAAAATAACTTTCAATTGCACGAAAAATTATTCCTATTAAAAATATACGACACACACACAACAAATAAATCCCAGATCCAGTTTAAAACAAATAAAATATAGATTTTATACCTATACAAATCTTTAAAAACTATAATTTTTTCCTACATCTTAAAAAGTCATAAAAATCAAGAGTTGAAAAAATTAATTAGTTCAGCCCTAGACAAATAACTAGAGAAACGAAACCTAATTTTTAAACATACATATCATATTATTATATTTTGCGTAGTGTTTATTCGATACATTTTTTGGTTAAGCGATGTACACTATCGTGAAAACAACCTAGAACTGAAGTTGGACCGCTAGTTGGATAGAAAGTCGGAGCGTGAGTGGAGACGAACATCCAACTAGTAGTCCTACTAAGTGGGACCACAAGTCGGAACGTGAATGGCCTGTCTAAGTGATGAAATAGTTATTCCGAAAAAGTTCCGTGATGTAGCCCGATAGGGTTTTTTATTATTATACCTTTTATAAAGGATTTTTTAAATAATTTTTTTGTGAGACATGTGTTATACCTTAGTTGATTTCATTAAACAAATTCATTGATCAGTTGATTTTAGATTCTTACTTTTGCTCTGGTGTTGATTAGGCATAGTTTTAATAATCTGATTAGTTTTTTGGCACATTTAACTCTTGCATTGCGTTATATAATTCCTTTTTAATTATTGAGCTTCTTTGAAATCTACAAAAAGATGATGCAGTTCGATTATTTTTAATTGTTGACCTGGGAACCATCAGGGTCGTCTAACATTAATGCCACAAATTGCTCGCATTGCTGCTGTAGTGATACTTTCTCAAATTAACATGCTTCTTTTCTAATAGAAGCATGTTACAGCATGACTATATCTCACCAGATTTGTATATGTTGTTAAAGAGTTTAGTTGAATGCACTTAAATTGTCTTCGTCTATAAGTTTAATCAGCTCGATATGAACTTCATCTGGCCCAGGGACTCTGCCATATTTTGAGTTGTTTATAGCATGTTGGACTTCAGATTTTAATATTATTGAAGCTTCCTCGTTATCAATTTGTGTTGGTTCCGTTCTTGTGCTCATGAAAAGATCTTCAATATATTTAGTCCATACTTGTTTTATTTCAATTGGGTTATTAATAGGTTTATTGTTTTTGTCAATTAATTGGTTAGGTGTATTTGTTCGTGATTTTCCAGATAATTCTTTCACTTTTTTTATGTAAATTATAATGATCATGCTTTTTCTGCAATTCTTCCACTTCGATACATTTTTCCATAATCTACTTTTCCTTAGCCTCTTTTATTTTGTTCCTTATTAATTTATGTTTTTCTCTCTACTTATTTGGGTTTTGTTACTATATTTTCTTCTTTGTTCCATGATTTCCAGTATTTCTTGAGTCATTCAAGGTTTTCGGCTTTCTCTTTTCTTTTGTAGAGTTTCTTTCTGTGTTTTTATAACAGAATCTTTGATTTTGCTCCACATAATGTTCACATTCTTAGTTTTTTTTCATTCCTGATGTCAATTTCTTAATTTCTTGATTGATACAAGTTGAAGCCTCAGCACGGATTTCATTTATCTTGAGTAACTGAGTAATAACCTTAGAACTTTTGGATTTTATTAGCTTTTTTATCCTCAGATTCATTTCTGAGACAAGGAGGTTACGGTCTAAGGGGACATCTGCTCCAGGAAAAGTCTTAACGTTTACAATGGAATTTCTAATTCTTAGATTGGTTAGAATAGAGTATATCTGATTTCTAATGCAATTTTGTTCATTATCCTGTGGTGACCTCCAGGTATACAGTCTACGGGGTGGTAATCGAAACCATGTGTTTATAATGGCCAGGTTTTCTTCGTGACAAAATTGAGCCAATTTGTCGCCTCTAGCATTCCTTATTCCTAAACCATAATCACCTATTATATTGTCGACTCTGCTTTTTCCTATCCTTGCATTTAAATCACCCATTATTACAGTAATTTCTTCCTTTCTTGTGTATTGTAGAAGTTGCTTGAGTTGTTCATAAAAATGTTCTATTTCAGCTTCTGATTTATCTGCAGTTGGAGCATACATTTGTATGACATTAATGTTCACTGGCTTACCCTGTATTTGTTATAACAGTATTCTATCCGAAAAGGGAACAAAATTTACAACGGCTGCTTCGATCTCCTGGAGATAATTATTCCAACTCCCTATAAATGATGTAGGGTGTCATTTCCGAAGTAGTATACCGTTTTCGCTTCCATAATATTTTTAGGTTCAGTCTGTTCATTTCCTGAATCGTGTTGTGTGTCTTTCCTAACAAACTCCTCACATTCCATGTCCCGGAATTTAACAAGGATTTGTTCTCTCTCTTCTCTCTCTCTCTCTTCTCTCCTCATGTGTGATATACAAAATTATTAGCAGAATTTGTGTTGTGTGGTGTGTATGTGTGTGTGTGGGTCGTCTTCATTGACTTAAAAAGTTAATAAGCTTTGAATACCGCATATAACATATGCAACAAATTATTAATGCTTGATAATCATTCTCTTTACTTTAAAAACCATTTAGAATTTGTTATTTCTTAATACTTTTGAACAATTGCGTAATTTGAAGTGCTTTTTTTTTTAAAAAATATAATTTTTGATATTTGTTATCACAAATCATTTACATTTTTTTATATACGACGATAAATGTAACAAACAGTAATACAATCACAATCAATCCATCATTCAAATAAATTAATTTTATCTTTATTCAAAGGATAAGACTTACACTTAAAGATTTTTGATCTTATTAGTAGCATATTTAGTTTTGGATAAGTAACACGCGAAAATGAAGACCTCGTGGATCTTTTTAGGCATTTTTTTAATTTGTGCCAATTTTGAAATTACTTTGGGTTTCAATTCGACAACTGGTAAGTTTTCTTCAATAAAAGAACAATTTCTAATCATTTTTTCTTATTTTTTTTAAACTGTGCACATTTGCCTTCATTTATGCCCACGTAGGTGATTCCATGGAGTTTTCAAAGAATTCGTGAATGCGACCAAAAATGTTTTACATTATATTAATAATACATTACATGTTCGTTTGTAATACTCCATGTAACGTTTTGTATTGATTTTTAATTATGTGTTCTTATTGTATGCCATACGATAAATAAATGCCTTCATTTGTTTGTACTTCTATAACTTAACGCCTTATTTTCTTAACGCGAACGTTAAACTATCTTTTAGTTTTTATTCAGTGCTAAAACCGGACAAACTCACATAAGTCACGAGAGTTACAAGTGATATTCGTTGGTTCTAAATATCAATTGGCTATCATTACTCATCAAGCTGGGCTTACACAGAAAGTTGATTATGAAATGAAAACTTTAATAGACTTTCACTATTTTAGATGGGAAAAAATTTAAACCGTAAGCGTAGGTAACCATAAAGTCGGTTAACGTAATGTCAGTTTTATGGCATTTATTCTTCTGACATTCTTAGGCATTCTAATTTTCTTAAAGGTAATAATCCTAGTGTTTTGAAACTTGATACATTTGTTCTTTGTCCAAAGAAAACATGAAACATGATACATGCATTTTTCAAACAATTTTACTTCTATTGATTCGCTATTTGTTTCTTCCTCTTTGTTTCTACACAAGCTTCTTTAGGGTTTGTATCCTTTTATTAGGTTTCGGTCACTTATATGCTCCTCTTACATCGTTACCTTGAAGATCCTGTTCCATTTTCTGTATCTTATCATTTTAGTATTTCGTTTTTTCTCTTCTGCATGTTTTATCCAGTCTCACTGGTGCCTCCGCAAAAGTTATTATTCATTCTCTGGTTCTCTTTTCCACATATTTCTTGTTAGCTTTAATTTTTCTGGTATGACCTGATTACAGGTTGCATTTTACCATTCTGCTTTGTTCTTTTTTCTTTATATCTAATTTTTGTTATTTCGTTTATTATTATCTTTGTTTCCAATGATCTTCACTGTCTATGTTTATCAGTGTTCGAGTTATATTTATCTTATTGTACCGTTTTTAAATAAAACGAGCGGTTCGAATTTATATAAATATATTTATTTATAACTTTACAGTTCGGTACTCTCTTATCAACTAACTTACTCCTAAGATCGTTACATATATATACCTAAGTGACTATGTTCTAGAAAGTTCCCACATCTCATTCGCGCACGTGACCGATTGTTCTCTTGCCTTCGAGGGATCTATCGATCGATGGTTCTCGATGCCTGAGATGCTTCGAGATGCAACCGTTAGGCGGGTCACGCTGAATGCATGTTCGTAACATTATTATTCAAGATCCTTCGTCTAGATTTTATCTGTAGCTTCTTCTTCTTGTTCTTCTTCTTTTTGTGTAGACATAATTCTGTCTCTTTTTCAATGTACCTCCAGTAAGTTATCTTTCCATCGTTTACGTGGTCTTCCTGCTGATCGTCTTCCTATTGGGGAACCGTCTCTTGCCATCTTGTCTCGACTCTATTTGTTGTCATTTGGCTTATATGATCGTTCCATTCTACTCTTCTATTTCTTACCCAGTCCTTGATGTTGGCCACCTTGCATCTACGTCGTATATCTGTCTTTGTAGCTCTGTATCATATTGTCTTACTTTCATTTTTTCTAAGAGTTTCTTATCTGCTGTTTCTAACATTCTTTTTGTCCTCTTTGTGTCAGGTCGTGATTCTACCGCGGATATCATTATTGGTCTGATGACTAGTTTGTAAATTCTGCCTTTCATTTCTTTTCCGGTACTTCTCCATATTGTTTCATTCAGGAATCTGCGACTTTGTTTGCTCTATTCACTTAATCTCTAGTTCTAGTTTCCGTCTTAGTAGATTTGCTTTTATAACCATGCATTTTGTCTTGTTTGGGGGAATTGACAGTAAATTTTTAGAGAGTTATATTAAATTGGTGCAGCATATTATTCTAAAGCATCTTCATTATTTATTATTCTTATTATTTAACCATTACTCTAAGAAAAATGTAATGGAAACTATTGAATACGAAGCAGCAGGAATTTAAGTAAAGTAGAAGGCAATAAGAAAACTTAATTCCTTTGAGATGTGGACGTATAGAAGGATTCTGAAGATCTCATGGGTGGATCAAGTTACAACCGTTGAAGCGGTAAAAAGAATAAAGAGAAACCAAGAAGTTAAAGAGACAATAAAATAGAAAAAACTGCAATATCTCGGACATATAATTCGTAAAGAAAAATACGTCGTTTCGATGCTCATAATCTATGGCAAACCCATAGTATATTTCGGATGAGCACTTTTCCGTACAGTCTGCCTTGCGTGTTGTACTGGCGATCTCGAACACTGGTGGCATGGAGTAATGTTTTTTTGCTGTAGAATCTGTGCCCTCCAGAATCCATGGACTGCGTTAAGTTTTTAGGATTTAGAGTTTCCTCTATTTGCTTGACGAAATATGTGTTGAATATTCAAAACATCTCTTCCTCCAATCCTTACCTCAAGGAGGGAGTGTAGTGGTCATCGTGATTTCGTGTATTGCCCGTCTCCAAAGATCTCTGTCTCTGGTCATTTCTTTTAACTAATGCATAGTTCTTTTGCATATTCCTGTAATTTGACCTATCTATCTTGTTATTGATCTTCCTCGTGATCTTTGGCCTTCTACCTTTCCTTGGATAAAAGTCTTTCCATGTTTTCAGTGTCTGCTCTCATAACATGTCTTAATGTATTTTAATTATTGTATATGGACTTTGCTGGATAGCCGTTTGCTGACTTTTAGCTTATTTAGAATTGAATTATTTATCCTTCCATCCACAGCATTCATAAGATTCTCCTTCAACAGATCATTTCAGTGGCATGTATGTTTATTCTCTCCGCTTGTCGCAAGGTCCAATATTTTCATCCGTATGTCAGTATTGGGAATATTAAGCAGTTGATTAATCTCAGTTCGTGAAATTTGAGAGTCCTTCCATATTTTGAACATTTTTCCTACGACGACGTTTGCTAGATTACGTTTTATTTCTTCCTGTAGTGACTCTGTGTTTGTGATCAATGCTCCCAGATATAAATATGAGCTCACAACCTTGAACTGGTCAATCCTGGTTATGTTTGGATAATTGTTATGTAGTCTATTCACTATCATGATCTTTGTCTGTGATATGTTAAACTGCAGAAATTTATCATTCGTTTTTAGCTAGTCGTATGAGAGTCTTTCTAACTCTTCTTGACTATTTGCAAGAAGGGCTGTATCATCTGCAAAACGTAGGTTATTTATTTTTCGGCCAATTATTGAGATGCCCTTATTCTATCCTTCAAGCGCTCTTCTCATAATATGATCCTCATATACAGGGTTGGACACTCAAAACATTTCACCCTGATAGTTGGCAATATTCATTGGATTTTGTGAAGATGATAAAAGAGGTCGATTTTTATTTTAAAGATGTTTTAACGATGTAGATATCTGTCAAGTGTCAACCCCTCTTCCAGTACCTCAACCCTTACATTTTATAGGGAATATACCATGTGTGACAAATTGTTAGACAGGTATTTTGCTGGAGAATTCAGACATCTATTTTTTTCGATAATTTTCGACTCTATTTTTGTAAAAAATATTAGTTTATTGATAGTGTTACATATTTTAAAAACTAAACGTAAAGTATATGTTTTGCTAGTGTCAGTTTCTGGTCATGTTAAAACTAAATTAAAACAAAATTCGCCACATTAATAGGCAACTTTATTTAATGTAATGTAAATAAAATCAACTAAATTTTAAATTAATAAATTCATAATTCTAAACAGTTTACTCATCAGCTCAGTGGCGGCTCGTGACATCTGCTATAGGGTGTGCTGCATGAACCACGGTCAATATAAAATAATAGAAATAGAATAACATACGAAAACAAAAACAATAAAATTAGCTTTAATACTAATTAATAGTAACTAATAACGACATGCTATAAAAATCTGATTAACTTACATTTATTGCATTTTTCTAAATTGGAAATTAATACGCCGGTCCTTTTTTGTCGCAAACTTTTCGATTACTTTATCGTTAAAGTTCGGTATTGAAGCGATGAACTTTTTTTCTATCGAGAGTGTGGAAAGGGCTGTTAATCTGTCTTCGCACATTGAATTTCTTAAAAATGTTTTGATCCGTTTTAAAGTTGAAAAACTACGTTCAGCTTCTGCTGTGGTCATTGGCGTAGTCACCAGAATTTGTATCAACTTTTTGGTTTCTGTTAATGTGTCCTCTAAATTATTAGAAATTATAAATTTTAGTAAAGGCACTGCACCTTTTAATGTTCTACACTCGATATTGGAATACAAAACTGACAGTTCTGTTCGCAAACGGTTTTTATCAAAGAAGTTATAAGCTGTACAAGTTAAATCCAATTCATTTTCAGGAAACTTATTATTATATTTTTCGAAATGTTCTGAAGATAAAAGTGTTGCGGCAACTAGATGATTTGTATATGCAAACCGTTCTTTTGCATTGTTTATAATAACATCACAAACTTCTAGACAGGCAATACGGTGATCCTGTTGGCTGTTATTTGGGCGTTTCCTTTTTTGGACACTAGGCGCCGCATTTAAATTTGAAGCTTGATGTATGATAGGGTCTATTTTATTTCGGACATTGTTAATACTTTGCTCAAAAACATGTATAGCTTTCTGTGCTTCGGTTGGGTCCATGTTCTTTTTTTGAAGATTATTGTACAAAACGTCAACATGTGGCATAATATAATGAAAAACAGTCAGCCAGAAAGTAAAATTTTGATCTTCCAGAATACGTCTAAGTCCTCTTGCTTCCTTGGAAGTAATAGCATTTGACTCTTCTTCTAGTTGCTCCATACACTCAATAATAAAGTCTCTATATTCGTAAACGACATTTACTGTACGAATATTGAAATTCCAGCGTGTAGGGATTGAACGAGGAATATT